CCGTGAGCCCCAGCCCCCCCAGATCCTGGCCCCAGCTGTCTGTCCCCTTCTGGCCAGACCCCAGCCCCCCATGAATACCCCGCCCCAGCACCCTGCCCCCAACAGTACAATTGGGGCCTCTGGGAAGAGATGAGAGGTGCAAGCTCTGGGAGGGAATTTGGGTGCAGGAGGAAGTAGAGAAGAGGATGCTGGCTCAGGGAGGGGGCTCCAGGTTAGAGTGTGTTGGGGTCAGGTAGAGGGTTGGGGTGCTGAGCAAGCCGCAGGCTTCTGGTTGTGAGGGTGCAGTAGTTTGGGCTGGGGTGCATGAGGGGCTCAGGGCAGGGAGGCTGGGAGTATGATGGGCTCAGGACACAGATTTGCAATGTGTGGATGGTGCAGGAGTGTTGTGGCAGAAGATTGGGGACATGTGGGTGCAGGAGTTTGGGGATGAGAGGTTCAGGTTTAGGGTCTGAGGGTGGGGTGCAGGAGTGTTATGATGCAGTCCGAAGGGTGCAGGAGTGTTATGATGCTGTGGCCAAATGGGGGCTTGGCCCCAATTGGGGGCTTGTTGGCCAGGCTTCATTTTTAAATAAAATATTATGTCAAAATACAAAATGTTTCAGCATTGTCTTTATGAGAGGGGAGGAGAACCTGTTTGGAGTCAGGGGTCACTGACCCACAGAAAAGTCAGTCGGGGTCATACAAGTGAGATGTGTAAAAAAACAACTGCTCCAAAACCCCACAAGCCTCACTAATGTGGCCCCAACTGTGCTGGTGGGGTCGGGACAGGGTGCTGGGGCAGGGTACTCATGGGGGGGGTCTGGCCAGGAGGAGGGGGACAGACAGCTGGGGCCAGTACCTGGGTCTCAGGAAGCACGCTGGCTGTTCTTCCCCTCCCCTCTTCTCCCCCAGGCACTCCCCCTCTCTCCCCCCGCTCTAACCTAATCCCCCTCCCCTTCCCCAGAGCCAGGCACGCACGCACTTCACTCACCCAATCCCTTTCCCCAGAGCCAGGCAGCCTCACCCAATCC